AAGGTCAGTTTGCAAGTGAGTATCTTTGTTAAAACATTCCCAAAGACAGATTTCTCATAAAAATATTTGTAACATAGTATGTTAGAGATTTTCACTTATAGTGAATGTTATCTATACTGTTCACGTAGGCTATTCAATATATATAGTGCATAGAGTGTTAAGCGCTAAGAAAGTGTAAAATTCATACATTAACATAGGGTAGACCTATTTAAAACATTACTCAATATATATTCAATGAATGTTCCCAAATAAATGTACAATAATGCTATGAATAAGCAGAGGCGGACAAAGTACACAACTGCATTACTTGAGTGAAAGTACAGATACTACTGGTCAAATACTACTCCACTACAAGTGAAAGTTGTAAAGACAGGCTTTTACTTAAGTAAAAGTACGAAAGTACATGCTTTTAAAAGTACTTAAGTATCAAAAGTAAAAAGTGAATGCATTGTTTTATTGTCACATTGTTGTATACTTACAATACCTTATGCCACTAATGCAACCTACTGAATACACTGATTAGCTTGTATTATCTTTGGAATTAAGAGCTTTTATGTTACCAAACCTATATAAATGGAACAACTGAATGAAGATAATCAACTTTATTTTTTATTTAACACTCCTACAGCTACATTGAACTCATTTTAATACTTGTTTAAAAGTTACAAAGTTATTTTTCAAAGAGATATTGAAGGCTATGATATGGTTAATTTTAGGCAAACCAAGCAAACATTGAAAAGAAAACAAATCTTTAGTCTTTTCAGAATACCGGAACATACTCTATCAGTATGGCCATGGGTGTGCAAGTTGTGCCAAAGAACCGTCTTTTTGAATTTTGCCATCAACTGATCAGTGTTCATAAAATGCTCAGAAATCAGTAAACTTCACAACATGTGGCTAGGGTTAGGTATTGTTTGAATTTTATCCATCCCGATTCTGATTCTGCTTATTAATTTCAATTCTTACCGATTCCCAGTTTAGATTCCAAAGTTGTACAAAAAAGTGATAAAACATTTTGACCTGTGTGATCATTTAACCTACTTATTGATCATTTATTTGCAAAAAAAATATGTATTTATGTGCAGTGTTTTGACAATAAAATAATGTTCAGATTTATGTACTTCCTTGACCAGTTTTTAGCAACAATTTACCAGTAGGCCTGAGTAGTAAGGTATTTTATAAATGGTAATAGCAGCCATTTTTGACTGATATATTAGCCTACCATTTGTATTGCCATAGTTTAACTACAAATATTAAACTATAGTTACTATAATGAAACTATGTTAAATTTGTGGTTACTGTAGTTTTACTACAAATAGCATAATTATGGTTACTATAGTGAGAGAAGAGTAAATTTGTGGATACTGTGATTTTACCGCAAATACCATAGTTAAACTAGTTACTATAGTAAAAACATGGTTAATTTAATGAGTTAACACATTCACATGCGAGTTCACACAGAATAAAAACTATACATTTTCTCTGTCATGTAGATCAAGGTGTAGGTCATTTCATTTATCTTCTATGATCTTTGATCGTAGCGCTCGG